AATCAACTGATTCATATTTGAGCAGCCTAAAGATGATACAGGTTTGATTTGTAGATTTATTATCAATAATCAACATCTGAATCAAAAGATATCTGAAAAAGTGTGAGGCATACTTTGTGATGTTCATCTATCTTTTTTTATCTGAAGGTTATGCATATGTGTTAGATACTAATGTGTTGTTGTTTTTTAACAGCCACAGTTCTCTATACAATAACACAAGACCCTGTGACGGTGGCTGATTAGAGACGGATGGTGTATTTCCAGACTTGGTGAAATGACCAAGCACACCTTCTTGGTCATATGTGGTGATAATAATGAAGGTATGTTTGATAAAGTTCTGTATTTGTTTCACAAGCTGAGAGGGTATTAGAGCATTAGAATAACAAATGACATGAAGGTGATAAGTTTTGTATTGTGGGTGAACTGTTACTTAAATAATGTTTTGCTCTTTACTTTGCACTTTTCCTCTTCTGCTTATCCTAATATTTTAGATAATATTTGGACCTAAAACATCTGCTAGACTCCAGTAAAGGTGGCGTCAATACTGGACCTGAAAGGGCCTAACAAGTTGAATCTGGTAAAGAAACATGCACGCACGCACGCACGCACGCACACGCTTACAGAAAACTGTTGTTTATGAAGTTTATGAATATTTTTTGACACTGTGGCCAATATTTTGGGGAAGTCAGCATCACTAAATGATATAAAAGATTTTAAGATCCTCTAAATTTTGCTCCAAGTGTTGTATTAAATTCAGGATTCTGGACAGACAGCTGCCTGTTTTTCCAGTTCTAGTCATAGTGGTTAACCTAATTGTTTTTGGAGATCCAACAGTGATGTATGTGTTTTTTCTACTTTTCCATATCCTGTCACCTCAACCAGCTGGGAGAGTCAAGTTGTGGATCATCATGAAGATTTTCAAAAGGTGAGTTTAGATTTCTTGAATGTTTTATTTACTCTAAATTTTCTTTTAAATATATTATAGAATTTGATTGCAATTTGTTTTCAAACATTTTTCTTAGTCATGCTGGAGTCTTGAAGAGTTCTTAGATGAGCATCACCCTATATCCGTGCATCAGGAACCACCAGACGAGCGATCAGCAGCTGCTACATCGTCATGGATAAAAAGGTCATCCTGTGGCTGGGAAGCACTTCATTCACAGGACATGCTTGATGAGATTTCCTAGCTCCAGTTTGTTTTCACACAAGTTTACAGCATTTATACCTTCATTTAAACTGCTGTGTTTGATATGGGGGACCAAGGAAACACCAGCAGTGAAAGATTTGCTTAAATTGTTTAAAATGTAATTTCACAAGAAAACTATGAGTTCAGAAGAAAACTATGAGTGACGCTATATTGAACTTTCAAATTGCTCTGATGAAACATCAAGTTTGGACCAAAGGACTGAAACAGCCTTTTTGAGCACCGGTCATACATATTTTGTTGATACTGTCTGTACTAATAAAACAATTAAAGCATATTTGACATTGTTGCATTTTAAAAACTGAATGAATTGTTGAAGTGGTGAATGTTTTCAAATAAAATGTTTTTTTATTTTGTAATTTACAGTCTATTTTACCTTTTTACCATATTTACACTCAAGAGAGTTGAATAAAATAACAATATATTGTAGTAAAAAATTACTACCAGGCGGTGTTAAATATATGTTACAAATTTAACTCTGCCCAGAGTTAAAATTAACCCTTACTTCGGTGTCAATGTGCCAACCCTTTTGAAAGTGTTGATTTAACTCTGTTTTGAGTGGACCCCATGAGACACTTTCAAAGTGTTGAAATTAACACCCATAGAGTTGTTTTGGGTCCCCATATTTTGCTGTGTAGCAGTAATGCCTTTTAGAAGTTTAATTATTTTAAAAGGACTTAACAATGTTAAAATCGTGAAGATATCATGTCCTGGAATAAATGATAAAGTGCATTGGATTGATTCAATATTGCAATTGTAGAAGGTCATTCAGTGCATACAGCAAAACTACCAGTGTAAGTGTACAATTTAATGGATATGTTTTATGATAGTACTGGAACTTGATTAAGGCTGCCAGTAAAAATACTATAGTCCATAAATAATGGCACAACTGAACCTTCTATTGTTTCTCAGAGCACAAACAAGCTGATGTTGATGTCAGTTTAGCAGGCAGGCCTGTGTGTTAGAGATGTGAGATCACGTATTTGGCTGTGTGGCGACTGCTGCACATTATTATTCATGAGCGTGGGTGTGTTTCTGGAGCCTGGGGGCGGGATTATCTTTTCCCTTAGTGCTTGTTGTGCTGGAGGCCTCAGGACAGGGGTCTGTCTGGCACTGCCGCCGGGGTCTGATGGGTCTGGACTCGCTCCTGTCTCTGTCTTTTGCTGTATCACTTTCTCACTGGCTGCTGATTATCATTCTGGGACACTGGCGGAGCTCTGTGCCTGGCACTCTTTCACTCTCTGTCCCTTCCCAATGGAGAATAACATGATATCCTGCAGCACATCTACACACTAAAAAAAATCCTTGGTGTTGTAACCCAACATTGGGTCAAATATACCCAACCATTGGGTATAAAAGTGTAATTTTTATACCCATTGGGTATAAAAGTGTAATTTAACAACTTAGGTTTGTTTAGGGTTGTGTCAAATATGGCAAACCCAATGCTGGGTTCATTTGTTCAATTAAATTTAAATGGCATCTTTTAACAAAGTGGTTGAATTTGTTTATTTTTGACCCAACGTTGAGTTATGGCAATCCAGCATTTTTTAAAACAAGGATTTGAAAAGAGAATATGTAAGGCAATCTCTCTAAAAATAATGGGTTGCTGTAACCTAACATTGGGTTGAATATTCCCAACCATTGGGTATTAAAGTGTCATCTACATTGAATTGAACAAAATTAACCCAACTTTGGGTTTGTTTATTTTTAAAATTCATATTCTTCTGTCTAAAGGTTGCATAAAAGAAAACCGGGACATCTTGGTCATTTTATAGACTTATATTTTACTTTTTAAACAAGGATTTCAAAGGGGATTTTGTGTCTTATAATTGCTGGGTTGAATATACCCAGCAATTGTGTATAATAGAGTCATTTAAATGTATATAAAAAAAAATAATAAATAAAAAAAAAAAAAATATATATATATATATATATATATATATATATATATATATATATATATATATATATATATATATTGGTTAGTTAATATTTGACCCAATGTGACAACCCATCATTTTTAGAATGAATATTCTTCTGTCTGGGTTGCATAAAATAAAGCGGGGACTTATTGGTCATTTTACAGACTTGTTTTTTTTTTGTTTTTTTTTTTTAACAAGGATTTCAAAAGAGATTTTGAGGCAAACACTAAAAAAAACGCTGAGTTGCTGTCACCCAATGTTGGGTGTGCGTCAAATATGAACTGGGTTCATTTGTTCAATTAAATTGATATAACACCTTTAACACAGTGGTTGGGTTTGTTCATATTGACCCAACGTTGAGTTATGGCAATCCAGCATTTTTTAAAACAAGGATTTGAAAAGAGATATTGTAAGGCAAACACTCTAAAATAATGGGTTGTTGTAACCTAACATTGGGCTGAATATTCCCAACCATTGGGTATCACGGTGTCATTTAAATTGAATTGAACAAAATTAACCCAACTTTGGGTTTGTTTATTTTTGACCCAGTGTGACAACCCAGCATTTTTAGAATGCATATTCTTCCATCTAAGGGTTGCTTAAAATAAAGCGGGGACTTATTGGTAATTTTACGGACTTGTTGTTGTTGTTTTTTTTACAACAATGATTTCAAAAGGGATTTTGTGAGGAAAACATTAAAAAGTGCTGGGTTGTTGTTACCAAATGTTGGATGGATCAAATATGGACTGGGTTCATTTTATTACTTCAATTTAAATAACACCTTTTAACACAGTGGTTGGGTTTGTTCATTTTGACCCAACATTATGGCAACCCAGCATTTTTTAAAACAGTCATGACAACTCAGCATTTTTATTTATGTTTTATTATTATTTTGAGGTTTTCACCTTTAATGGACAGGACAGTATAGAGTATTGACAGCAAAGCATTGGGAGCAGAGAGAGGGAAAGGATCGGCATAGGACTGCGAAGTGGGAATTGAACTCTGGTCGCCGTGAGCACCATGCATGTGTGCATGTGTTGACGCACTGACCACTACACCACTGGCGCCGACTGCATTTTTTAGACAAGGATTTCAAAAGGGATTTTGTGAGGGACACGCTGACCCCAATTTTGGGTTGAATGTAGACTTAGCCTATATGTTTTTCTAATTTTTAGTGCTAAGGTTACTAAAATAAAAATAAAGCTAATCAAAAACGTATAATAAATAAATAAATAAAAAATGACAAAAGATAATAAAAAAATGCAAATACAACAACAACAACAAAACAGTAGAAACCCTGACCTGCAGTGTTAATTAAATATGTAATCAAATATTGGCAAACAAGTTGGCGGTTCATTCCGCTGTGGTGACCCGGATTAATAAAGGGACTAAGCCGACAAGAAAATGAAAGATGAATGAATATTGGCAAAATGAAGCCAAATTATATGTATTTATGAAATGATAATAATGTTTGAGGATTTTTATTAGAAAGTAAATGAGAAAATATTGAGCACAGCTCTCTTGTCTCGTATTCTTTGCAATATGTAGCTTTAAAAAGCAGACTGTGCTTTCTTGCTCATTTTACATGCACATTATTGGTTCATTATTCATAAGATAACATCTTCGAAAGAGCAATGCAATACAAGACATATTTTTTATTTCCTTAAAGAACCTTGAAATGAAACCATTTATTCTTACGTTGATGAAGTTTGAAATTACCTGAAGAACATTTTTCAACAATCAAGAATCTTTTGTGAAATAAAAAGATTTCACGGATGTCAAAATGCAACAATCAGTGCCAATATAAAATACTTTTAATTCATGCAAAGCAAAACAAACCTTCTGAACCTCTGTGTCTGTGTGTCTGTCCGCAGGTGATGAGTATTTTGAGTAACCCCAGTGCTGTCCCGTCTCAGCCGCAGCATGATTTCTCCATCTCTCCTCTGCACGGCGGTCTGGAGGCGTCCAACCCCATCTCCGCCAGCTGCAGCCAGCGCTCGGACCCCATCAAGAGTGTGGACAGTCTGGCCTCGACTCAGTCCTACTGTCCCCCGACATACAGCGCCACCAGCTACAGCGTCGACCCCGTCACTGCCGGATACCAGTACAGCCAGTATGGCCAAAGTACGTACTGTACAGTCCCCGCATCACACAGTCTTTACAGAGCTGCGTTTCTTTAGCAAAAATACACTCAATGTGCATTGTGTATTGTCATTATACCTAGAATGGAAAAGCTGAATTTGCAGCGTCATAACTCAAGTCTTCAAAAGGGGGGCTAATAATTCTGACTTCAACTGTATATAGCACATTTTTTACAACACAATGTTGCTCAATATGCTGAACACAATCATAACTAAATAAAATAAAACCTACCTCACTGTGGCGAGGGGGCGTGGCCGAGAGCCGTGGGAATGGAATGAGGCCGCCGCGTAAGTGGATGCACCTGTGCTGCGCACCGGCCTCGGATCCCACGGAAGGAGCTCTGGACTATAAGAGGAGGAACGATGGCAGAGGAAGCCGAGAGAGGACCGGGCCCGGGCATGTTGTTTTACTTTTGTTTTCAGTTTGACGGCAGTCTCCGTGAGGAGCTGCCGTCTGTTTGTTTTGGTTTAGACGGCAGTCACCGTGAGGAGCTGCCGTTCATATTATGAATAAATATTTTAAAACTAAAAAAGCTGTAATGAAGTTCACGGCCCTTTGGCTGCCGGGAAGAAGGAGGCGGAGAACCGACGTAGTTTTAAAAAATTTATTTATAATATGAACGGCAGCTCCTCACGGAGACTGCCATCTAAACCAAAACAAACGGACGGCAGCTCCTCACGGAGACTGCCGTCAAACTGAAAACAAAAGTAAAACAATATGCCCGGGCCCGGTCCTCTCTCGGCCTCCTCTGCCAGCGTTCCTCCTCTTATAGTCCAGAGCTCCTTCCGTGGGATCCGAGGCCGGTGCGCAGCACAGGTGCATCCACTTACGCGGCGGCCTCATTCCATTCCCACGGCTCTCAGCCACACCCCCTCGCCACACTCACATACATAACAATTAAACATAAGGCAAACCCCTCAACATTAAAAAGGCTCAAATTCTAAAAAACAGAGATGTAGTTTCAGATGCTTTTTAAAAACAGATAGAGTTGGAGCGTGTCTGATGTGGGGTGGAAGCCCGTTCCAGAGTTTTGGGGTGATAACAGCAAAAGCCCGATCCCCACTTCGCTTACACTGGGACCCTGGTACCGAAAGAATAAACTGATCAGAAGACCTTAGTGACCAACCAGGATTATATACATGTAGGAGGTCTGATAAGTAAGGTGGTGCCAGATCATTTAAGGATTGAAAAACAAAAATGAATAGTTTAAAATCAATCCGTGACCTAACAGGCAGCCAGTTCAACTCTACAGTTTAACAAAGGGACTTTAATTGACATTTCAGTAGTTTAAAATAATAAAAGAAATAAAAAATTTAGAAATAAGTCTGTAAAATAACTAAAAATGTACTGGCAGTTTATTAGAAGGTCTTTGTTGCATAGTATGCAACACCAACATAGACAATATCGCACTTTTAACTATTAAAAACCTTAATCATTTAAAACAAGTTGTTGTATCCCATAATACAATTTAAAAGCATAAATAAATGTGGAGGCGAGGCAGTGGTGCAGTAGGTAGTGCTGTCGCCTCACAGCAAGAAGGTCGCTGGGTCGCTGGTTCGAACCTCGGCTCAGTTGGCGTTTCTGTGTGGAGTTTGCATGTTCTCCCTGCCTTCGCGTGGGTTTCCTCCGGGTGCTCCGGTTTCCCCCACAGTCCAAAGACAAGCGGTAAAGGTAGGCTAAATTGTCCATAGTATATGTGTGTGTGAATGTGTGTGTGCATCTCCCCCAGAGATGGGTTGCTGCTGGATGGGCATCCGCTGCGTAAAAACTTGCTGGATAAGTTGGCGGTTCATTCCGCTGTGGCGACCCCGGATTAATAAAGGGACTAAGCCGACAAGAAAATGAATGAATGAAATAAATGTGGAAAAATTAAAACATGAATCACAAAACACGGAAAGCTGCTAATAATACAGATACTTTTACAGTGTAGTTATGAAGCTTAAAACCCAGCATGTCTTTTTAATAGGGAGGCAATTATTAATGCCTCGTGCATATTGCCAGTTATAGTGTTTTCCTCTCTGCCCATTGCTGACCATCTCAAGACACCCTGACCCACACCAGCAAACACATGCTCCTGATAAAGAGGCCAGTTCGGCCCCGAGCTCCTGGGTTAGTCACAGTACTCTTCCCTCCACTGGGAAACAGCCACTTCAAAGAGCACTTTTACACCCAGAGGCTCCTGATGTCCTCTTAGTCACCTCACACACACACACTCCAGCTTCAGGGCAGGAAAAAATTGATTGATTTAATTAACATAATCAGACGCTGATGTTGTCACAGAAGTCAGAAACCTGTATGATGTGTGTTTCGTTATGAGTATGACTTACAAAATTCTGGAGGTAGTTTGTTTTCTTACCTGAAGGTTTTATCTGTTATAAACACTGGTGAATTCTTGAAACAAGATGCCATTGAAAAGAGAAGTCTTTTGCATTTCAAGTACTGTAAATTGGTGGAAAAGTCTGAAAATGGACCTGGAATGTGCTTGAAAAGTGCTTAAATTGGACTTGTGTCCAAAAAATGTAATAACCCTGTTCACCGGAAGCACGTTTAATTTAAAATATATGCAAAACTCAAAAGTTTTCTTACCTGGAGGTTTTATTTGATGTAAAAAAAAAAACAGGATGCAAAAGAAAAGAGAAGTCTTTTGCATTTTAAGTACTGTAAATTGCTGGAAAAGTCTGAAAATGCACCTGAAATGTGCTTGAAAAGTGCTTAAATTAGACTTTGGAAAAGATGTAATAACCTTGTTCACCGGAAGCGCAGTTATTAATAAAAAATACAGTCATTGTGAAATATTATTACCATTTCAGATTAGGACTTGCAAATTAAAACAATTTATAATATATGCAAAACTCAAATAGTTTTCTTACATGGAGGTTTTATCTGTTATAAATGCTGGTAAATTCTTAAACCAAGATGCAAAAGAAAAGAGAAGTCTTTTGCATTTCAAGTACTGTAAATTGCTGGAAAAGACTGAAAATGCATCTGGAATGTGCTTGAAAAGTGCTTAAATTGGACTTTGATAAAGATGTAATAACCCTGTTTAACAGAGGCGCATTTATTAATCAAAAATACAGTCATTGTGGAATATTATTACCATTTTTAAATTAGAAAATGTATATTAAAACAATTTATAATACAGTATATGCATAACTCAGTGGTTTTCTTACCTGGAGGTTTTATCTGTTATAAATTTTGGTTAAAAAAACAAGATGCAAAAGAAAAGAGAAGTCTTTTGCAATTTAAGTACTGAAAAATTACTGGAAAATATTAAAAATGCACCTGTAATATGTTTGAAAAGTGCTTAAATTGGACTTTGGAAAAGGTGTAATAACGCATTTATAATTATTTTTAAAAAATATTTTATTTATAACAGTTTTTAATAGCACTTTTTTTATCTATAATACGTTTTTATACAAATAAAGAAAAAATACAGAAAAAATAATTAAAAACTATTTTAAAATTTTAATAAATGAATAAAAAACAATAAAAAAAACAAGCACCAGTCCATCCAAACATGCACCATAAAGAGTAAATAATATACATCAAGTTTTACTTGACCAAACTCAAAACATTGAAAAGTGATATATAAGCGCTCTACCTCCAACTCTTAAAAAGATAAGCAAGGAGAAAGGACTCAGATTCTTTCAAACTTTTTAGAAGCATCTGCCCTAGCAAAAAGAATTCTTTCAAGCCTAGGAACAGCAACCATTTCAGTGAGCCATTAATGAAAAGTAGGTGGTAAAGTGGACTTCCAATCCATCAAGATCACCCTTTTAGCCACCCCTATACCAAACATAATAGACATTTCCTGGTTATGTGACCATGCTAGCATCCAAACAGGGCTAATTCAATATCTGGGCTAATGTTTTCTCCCAAAACATTTGAATAAAATAGAAAAATATTTTTCCAAAACTCTGGGATCTCAGGGCAAAACCAAAAAGTATGAGCATACGTTCCCTCTGAGATCTTGCATCTCTCACATAACGGGGAAACTGAAGGGAATCGTGCATTAATAGAACAGGTATGAATTTGCTTCAGCCCCTCTTCCCAGGTCTCATTTGAAATGTTAATTCCAATATCTTCTTCCCATGCCAATTAATGGTGATCAGAAGACACGGCAAATTGGTAGACAAACAAGGAAACAACCTGCGTCACTAGATGCTTGGCCTTATAAGGTTTATAGGCGTGTTTATTATTTAAAATACAGTCATTGTGAAATATTATTACCATTTCAAATTAGAAAATGCAAATTAAAGCAATTTATATTAGGGCTGCACAATATTGGAAAACTGACATTGTGATATTTAGTTTTCGATTTTGATATTTAGTATTACGATATGAATATAATTTGAGTAGGTGGCGGTTACGCAGTGGGTAGCGCTGTTGCCCCCCTACAAGAAGGTCGCTGGTTCGAGTCCCGGCTAAGTCAACCAATCAACAAAACGTTTTACTTTAAAATTGCTAGAAAATTTCAGAACCAGTTCCAAAGAAAGCGTGTGCATGTGCGTGTGTGCGTATGTGTGTGTGTGAGAGAGAGAGAGTGTGCATGCTAGTGTGTGTGTAGTAGTAGTGTGAGGTCCATCAGAAGGTGCAGGAGGGTTGATTGAAGAGATCTGACGAGCGAATGTCAGGTTAATTATGAGTGAGATTGAGAGACTGATCTGTTTAATGAGTCCGACGAGAGAGCTGCTGAAATTGAGGCCAGTATGAAGCATGAAATCTCAAACGCTCAGAGTAATAAAGACTGGCACACACACACACACACACACACACACACAGCTGAATGAACCACACTGGGGATTTTCTCTCGCTCTCTCTCTGGCCTTGGTGTTGGTTTTAACTCATATGTTGTGTTTTATCAGTTTTTATTTGTTTAGTTAGAGCTTAGTTCTCTGGTCAGATGTTTAGGAGTGACTGATCACTGTATTAAGCTTGGTTAGAAGTGAAGTGATTCACAAATGAGTCATTCATGTAATTTGGTTTAAGGCTTTTCATTTTCACGTGTAGTTTTTGTTAACTAAATCTATTAAAAAGGTTTTGGTAATTAAATAAAAATCAAATATGATAATCATGGCCTGGTTTCACAAACAAGGCTTAGCTAAGCCAGGATTAGGTCTTAGTTAAATCAAAGCATCTTAAATACACAGCAAAGGCAGCACAGAAACCAAACCTGAAGTGGCATAAATTTATGAAAATGTGCATTTATGTGAGCCTAAGATGCCCAAAGTAGGGCCCGCAGGCTAAAGTTGGCGAGTGGTAACCTTTAGTTTGGCCTAGTGATGCGCGGATGGCCAGTATATCCGCGGGCGCTGCGGATAATCCGTGGGCTGGGCGGGCCGGGTAATAAAAAAATTCATTATTATTAATTGCGGGTGGGTTGTGGGTCGATGTTGTAAGAAATGGCAGTGGACTAGCGAAAATCAGAGAGTGGGCTTTGCAAACTGGGAAGATGAGACATCCAAAATAATCGAGTGGTGCTCACTGCAGAGCCATTTGGGCAGAGCTGAGCTCCAGCGAGGGGGAGCATGA